CTGCCTGCCCCACTGAGACACCGACGCTCTGCCCCCAAACCCTTCACCTGCTGGAGGATCTTGGACACCATGGGGGAACTCTGCTGGTCGAACACCTTGGAGAGGATCTCCAGCCCTGCCAGCACCTTGTCCACCTCACTGCAGGGCGAGGGCAAAGCATCAGCAGGTCGGCATCCATCCACCCATCCATCCATCCATCCATCCATCCACACCACGCTCACCTGTGCAGCCGCTTGCAGGAGGTGACGAGGGTCCTGTGGAGGTGGGGCAGGCTGCAGGCCCCAGCTTTCACAGCCTCCAGGTCCAGCGCGTAGCTGCCCTTCAGGTACTCGTGGGAGATGCTGGCCAGGCCGTTGGTGCTGCAGAGGGATGGGGGGTGAGGGGTGTGATGGGGGTGCAGGGATGCGGTGGGGGTGCAGCGGGGATGCAGGGATGGGACGGGGGTGCAGGGATGTGGTGGGGATGCAATGGGGGTGCAACGGGGGTGCAGGGATGGGATGGGGGTGTGGTGGGGATACGCTGGGGATGCAGGGATGTGATGGGGGTGCAGGGATGCGATGGAGGTGCGGTGGGGATGCAGGGGTGCGACGGGGATGCAGGGATGTGATGGGGATGAGGTGGGGATGCAGGGATGCGATGGGTGTGCAGGGATGCGATGGGGATGCAATGGGGCTGCAGGGATGCAGTGGGGGTGCAGGGGTGTGATGGGGCCATGGGGATACGTAGGGGACGCGGTGACGATCTTCACCTCTCTGCTGCCCCATCGGCTGCTGCCGGCCCTGGGCTGCTGGGGCTGAGCCCCACGGAAGACCCTGAGAAGCTGCTGGTGCTGGAGCGTGGGGGGAGAGGAGGCTTCTCATCCTCGCCATCTGCAAGGCAGCGGGGTTGGGCATCACGGCACCACGCTGATCCCCCCACGGGGAGAAGCCGGCAGCCACCTACCCGAGTAATCCCTGTCCTCTGCGCCCTCCTTCTCCTTCTCCCTCTCGACTGGGAAGAGCAGGGTGCACACCAGCCCTTGGTTGGGCTGCAGGTACAGCGAGATCAGCTCGCTCAGCGTCTTGAAGCGCCTCACCTGCACTCCCTGCGACGTCTGCAAGAGGTGGGGGGGGGGGGGGGACACGGCTGTCACCTCCCTGCCAGGGAGCACGGGACAGCTGGCACAGCGTGGCGAGCGCACAGCTGGCACCCGGCCGCCAACCACCCCGCTGCCTCCTCCTCCCCGCCAGCGCCGGCTCTTTCCTGTCTGCACTCAGCACAAAGGGGCTTCTGTTGCTCTCAAAACACCCGGCGGAGCAGCGGCCAGCAGCAGCGGCGGCTCGTGGCCACGCTCACGGCGTGGGGACAACCCCAGGATCCATCCACCGCTCCACAACGCCGCTCTGTGGGTCCTTGGTTCTCCCAGAGCCGTGGACGTGGGGTGGCCCTCGGTGTCCCCAAGGTGGGGATGGGGGGGACCGTGCTGCTCAGATCCTTCTGGAGCAGTCGCCATGGGGTGTCCCCAGGGTGAAGATGGGGTGGCTACGCTGCCCAGACCCCCCAGAGCAGTGGATGTGGGGTGTCCCCAAGTGGGGATGGGGTTGCAAGCTGCCCAGGCCCCCCAAAGCAGTGGCCATGGGGTGTCCCCAGGGTGGGGATGGGGTTCCCAAGCTGCCCAGAACCCACAGAGCCGTGGATGTGTGGTGTCCCCAGGTGGGGATGGGGTTCCCAAACTGCCCAGAACCCCCAGAGCAGTGGCCATGGAGTGTCCCCAAGTGGGGATGGGGTGGCCACGCTGCCCAGACCCCCCTGAAGCAATGGCCGCAGGGTGTCCCCAGCTGTCCCCACCTGCACTGCCAAGAAATCCTCCTCGTCAGGCAGGATGCGGTAGGTGTGGACGTGCTTCTGGAACCTGCAGGGGGACAAGCACACGGATGGCCACCTCCCCACGTCACCAACTCCCATCGCTGGTCAGATCAGGGCACCCCACGCTATAGGCACCCCATGCCTGCACCAGCACCGTGCGTGCAATGAGCTGCCCGGTCTCAGCCCAGCTCCCAAGGCACGGCTGCCCCACGCCTCCCCACCCCTGCAGTCCCCAGGCAGGGAGCTGGAGGCTGCTGGCAGCCGAGCTGCCAGGAAGCAATTTGTTTTCCAATGGAAGCATGCAGGAACCAGGGATGTGATCTCGGAGCAGGGGGTGATGGGTGGCGTTGAGAGATGTGGCACCGGTGACATCGGGACCCCCTCCTCCCCGGGGTCCTGCCCACAGGCTGTGGGTCACTTTAGCTCCCCGCGTCCTCGGTGTCACTCGGTGTCACCCTGTGCCACAAGGGCTGTGACAGCAGCCACCACCGCCCGCCCGTCCCACGCTCCCGGAAGGAAAGCTAAAAATATGGTTGGCACTGAAATATGGCACTAAAATAAATCCCATAGGGACGGGGAGGATGGGGACAGCCGGGACCTACGAGGAGCGGTGAGGCCACCCCAAGGGCTGGTAGCCAGGACACCGACCCACGGCCATGGGGTGCAAAGGGGTCGCAGAGGTGACCGTCACCGTGCCAAGACACAGCTTGGCCACTGTGTCCCCCATGTGCCGTTGTCCCCATAGCCGTGTCCCTGTGACACCCGTGGGCTGAGTTAAGGGGGTTTGGGATCACGGGGTGCCCCCCACCCCTGTGTTTCCCTTCCTCAGTTCACAGGGGCGCTTGCAGACCCTCTTTGGGGTTCGTGGGGACGACGCCATGGTGTTGGGGATCTGTGAGGGTCTTGGGGGGTTCAGCAGGTCAGAGGGGTCCTTAAGGGGCAGGGGGGAACGTGGGGAAGCCCAAAGTGGGGACAGGGAGGGATGGTGGGGGGGATAAACAGGGATCCCCCCTATTGGGGGGGATCATGAGGGTCTCTATGGGGCACTTGAAATCACAGATAATGAAAGGAACCCAAATGTGTGTGTGTGGGGGGGAAGGGGCACAGTGAGCCCCAAAATGAGGAAGGGGCAAAGACGGACTATAGGGTACCCCAAAAGAACGGGACAAAGAGGGGAGAAGCCCAAACTGGGGGGGGGGGGGGGC